TTTGTTGATGGCAGTGTTCATTTTAAGCTGTTCCTTAGTGTTAGCTTTTAAGTAAGGCATATGTGCTATTTTAGAAAATAATGCTAGCCTCTGTATTTCTTATCTCTCTTTTTTTAAATTAAATATAATAAAGCTCAAATGCAGTTTGTTTTGCATATCTAATACATTTGTTTTCTTATAAGACAACAATTTTGTTAAACAAAATAAAGCACGGTTGTAGAATTAGAAATGTTTGTTGTTATCTGTTTAAACGCATTTATTCCAAAAAATTATTGATAGCTCTGCCAACCTGTCACGGTCTAGACCGTGAGGTAAAAAAAACCTTTGGTAACGTGGTCTCTCGGTAGAGGTATATTTAGGTGGTCTGTTGAGGGAAGTTGGCTGGTTCCACACAGTTTACTTCTATAGTGATTGATATTCTATTTCTACTTTGCTCATTTTAACCTCTTACATATAATTTTAATAGAACATTGACTCTACATAAATAAATAAATTCTCTGTAACATTTAAATACTGTTTATTCTGATAGTAAATTGCAAGTTTATTTTGGTTATAACAAAGTTACAATAACACAATAATAAATTGTAAACAAATGAGGACAATGTATTTTTATCATTCATGACCAGATTAAATATGCATTTTTCTACTTACAACATTGGAAAATTGATATCTCGCTCCTCCTTCGGTCTTGCAAGATATCATTTTTCCACCGCTGCTCGTAGCAATATACAAAGCCTTAAAAAGCTACTACTACATAATATTCCGTTTATATCTTCTTTAATTTAATGTATTATAATGCCTAACGCTTGTTCCCTCTTTAATAGTGAACACGGAAAAATAGCGTACCAGTCAACCGTGACTAAATTCAACAAAGAATTAAATAATCTATTTCAAGATGTAAAATGTTAATGAAAAATTGTAATAAAGCTACACATCTAGAAAAAAACAGAACTGTTTAATCTGAATAAAAAATTCTTATTTATCAATAATAGTTTATTTACTTTTATACTTAATGCTGCAGACGGCACTTATGAATGAATGTTCCGAATTAAACCTTCTATACATATGATTTTACAAAAACAATTGATGTTGATTCTTCACGTAAAAAAGATCAACTATCATATGATAAAATCACATGAATGCAATAATTCTAATGCAAAAATGAGGCTAGTGGCTAAATGTACTTGTAAACATTATATGACTTCAACACCACTCTCGGCTGATGTGCTCCCTTGCGTTTGGTGACTGTATCACAAAATTTGCTTATTTTGCACTAATCTAAAATCAAGTTAAACTAATGTTTTATACCAAGGCCAAAGAGTAACAGCAAATGACAAAAGTTATAAGTCAAAAGTCAAAAGTCAAAAAGATAAAAGTCCATAAGTAAAAAGTGATAAATTATAAGTGAATAGTCACAAGGCAAAATTTAATAAAAAACGAGAAAATTTATTACAAAGATCAACTATTATTTTTGAAATAACAATCATAAATATTCCTTTTACATATAGTTACCATAATACATTCTATAAAGTATGGTTGCTATTTTGTTGCGAAATGAATAAGACGTTTAAATCTAATTACACATACTTGAAATTACACATATCACTTATATGTCACGGTACGAATCTATTCAGTAGATGATGTGCACTCTCGGTCGGGACAGAACTAGCCCTGTAAGGGGTTGCGGGTTCAAATCCCGGTATGGCTGCATATCTTTTTCCCCCTGTGGCATTTGGTATAGTGGAAAGTGTCCCTGCCAGTCACGCGGGAGACCGAGGTTCTATTCCTAGCCGGGCAGCCTTTTTGTAACCAGGGCTTGATATAGAACAGATACAGGTTGTGGGTTTGAAACCCATAGGAGCCAACATTTTTTTTCTTCGTTTTTTTCTGTTAACAGTATTTTTGTATTTTTTCTACCTATATTTAGATCTAGATGGAAAAATATGCTCGTTTTCTATTATTATCATTTTTTACAGATATTCATTGCCTAATTAATGCTAAATATAAGAGCAAATACGACATATAACATTTTCAATGCTTTATATATTACAAACAAGCCGGTAAAAGCCTTCCATATTTCTCAGAATGAATCAATATACTTCTAGAGAGATTATAGCAAACTTTGATACAAGCCCTTTGACAAATGTAATTTCAGTGATTTTCTAAATTTAGAATGATATGATAGAAATTGTTCAAATGGGTGGGGTAGAGAAACATTTCCATGCATATTTCTATAAGTCATGCATTTAACATGCATAGTTCATTACTAGAATGTTATTTTTTTGCATCTAAACAAACAACACTTGCAAAACATGTTAAATAAGAAGATATTTTTTTTAGACTTTCAATACATGTATTTTTTTTTAAAAGCCTTTTTGATGTATATGTTCTGACTCATAATAATGCCTACAACTCCAAATCCGTACAGTAAATTTTGCTTAAATTTTGCATACATGTGTCCTTTAGGTATACCACTTAACAATGTTGTCAATTTTACAATCCCTTATAGTGCAAATTAGAGTGGTTATAACTTAAATGATAATTTACAAATATATTGTAATTTGCTCAATATTTACAAACCAATATCTTCAAACAACCATAAAATGAAGTGAAATCGTAGACTATCGTCTTTATGACTTTAAAACATCATTTTTTGAAACTTAACCTATAGTAATCTAGTATATATCAATAACATAAAAAAATAAAAATTAGCCGTTTCAAAGCGTATTTTTATTAAATCTACTCTCAAAATTAAATCGTTCAACTGGGTACACAGTTGTAGTGCTGAACGGCGTCCAATGGCATCTGTAGATCTGGCTTCAGAAGGGGTGCTAATTCTACGAATTCCTCACATTGTCTTTTTGGGCGTGAATACATGTTCTTTGCAAATATATACGTCTCTCAAGTTAACTGCATTGCCGAAGTCGTGAGTTTCATACAGACCTGGTACAAAGAAACAGTGTTTCAGGTTTACCATAAATAACAGAAGGTATGTTGCCTTATTTCATGTGCAATCCGGTCTAACTCGGTTGGTATGAGGTCCATAAAGCAAAATTTTAAGTTATCACATTGTATCTGGTCCAGATCATTAAATGCACATGTATCGCGTAAGTCTTTTGAAAAAAATTAATCCACCAATGGATTTCATTTTGTCGTAATGTACACCACCACTTCTCAATGCGTTGGTTAGATGTGCTTTTCCAAAACTACAACGCTTTGAGTACCAGCAATCGGATCTGTAGAATCGTGTCTGAAGTATTCCTGCAATAGTAAAGCAATGCAGTTTTCCGTACCAACATCACAACGTAGTATTGGGTGGGGGACTTGGTATTGTTCATTAAAGGTGTCAAAAGTATCTTGCAATAAGGCGTGGGTCGTTATTTGAGTCCGAAACCTCTAACCATATTATTTTTCTACTATACCTATTCACAGCATGTTTTATGGTTTACATTTGTCTCAACTGTCCATGTGTCATATAAAACTGGCCCTTTGGCGTAGTATACGCGTCGGCATAAGCGATAAGCTTTCCGCATCTCAATATCAACTGGATCAAGCGCTCTCATTATTTCCATGACGTCGTCCCCCTGAGGACCATGTGGTAATCCAGCATTAACCTACGCCACATTGTGCGGTATCCTATGCATTGTCCATTTGTTTGTATTTCTCTGTTTATAAGATCAGACACAGACTCAAATGAGTATATATTCCATTACGCCGTTTTAAATTTAAGCTTTTAAAAATTCTATTCACTGTACTTGTATCTTGGCACGGTAGCTTTGGTAATGCCGAACAGTATAATGATGAAGACACAGATCAACATCAAGGTTTTTCATCCTCGTTACCTTTTGTCCAGTAGTTGTGTCTGAAATAAGAGTTTATCTTTTATTTAAATCTTTATACATTCATAGTATATAAAATGGGTAAATCTTCTAAGCTCCGTCTTTTAAAGATTGATAGTACGAAAAAAACAAAAAAAAACATTTAAAATGATAGTAGGATATTTTGTTCTAACTTGTCCTATATCTATGTTTGTTCTTAAGTGTTTTTTTCTCAATTGTTAAAATATACAACAAAATTAGACATTGATGCTAATGCAAATGTGCCTCGATCACAATTATAACTTTGTACTTGTGTGTATGAACATAGCACTTGCTGTTCATTATGAAATTGGTTAACACTATCTAAGTACTTCAAAGAAATACTGATTCTGTGTTAGCTAAATAAAATGCTGAATAGCGATACATGTTTAATACTATGCACCATGCCATTTTAAGACGTAAAACTTGTATTCCCTGTCTACTTGTAAAACAGTTATTTGTTTGTTTACTCATGGGACAGATTTTGTGATGAGGACAAAAAATGTGTAAGCACTAATATAATGAACATATTTAGAACAAAGCAGATTGCAGAAAACACACAGTCACACTTGTAGAATTAAAGTCTGATATATTACCACTATGGGATTATATCAAATAACATTAATTCCCTCCTTAACACATCATCTCCTCCATGACAAATCTCAATGAAATTATTTAAAACGTTTAAAAAACATACCTGAAACCAAAGTTGCTGCTTTCAGCTTCTAAAAAACGTGTAAAATGGGTTAGCCATAAGTCATAAGACGTAAGTCACAAATCAAAAGTCACAAATCAAAAGTCAAAAGTCGAAAGTCAAAAGTAAAACATCCGTAAGTCGAAACTCAAAAGTGACCCTCCAAGGCTTCCATAGATACCTTATATTACACCGCGGGTCATTATTTTGCACTTCATTTATTCCAATATATTTCCGTAGCATGTAGGCCTTAAAAGAACAAAAATTTGTCATATAGACATTGAATTTAAAAAAAAGAGGTAAGACAATATATAGGTATATATTATCTTTGATGATGGCAAGACGATAATGGCGATGATGATAATTTAAATAAAATCTATTCAAACACAACATACAATTTTATTGAGCAATCGTATATTAACAAACAAAAATTGGAGGCGATTTAGATAGTGAAAGGTGTTAATTGTAAACTGAAAAAGAAAGGTAATTATAGATAATGTCAAGATCCTCTATTAGGTAGACCATAACATGCTCTCATCATCAAATCAAAGTACATGTCATCGTCTACTGTTGCACTAACACCGGCATAATAGTTCATAAATTCTTCACGTGTCACTTTTCCGTCCGGATTTCCAGGTGTATCGATACTGTCCAAGAAGTTCCGGAGTACCTGCTTTTCTGTCAACTCACCGGATATAAATTGCGGATGTTTTTTAGCGTTTGATGAATATGCAACTGGAAAGAAAAAATGCTGATTTTAACATTTGGTTAAACAATTATATTGAGTAGTTATAAAATATAGCATATCATTATAATATTACTGGCTTTGAATAAACGAACCACCTGCTATTTACTTGCAAGTGCGCGCGTAATTGGAATATTTCTATGAAAGTAGTGTAATTTAGTTTAATAATATTTTATTGCATTTTTTGTACATGATTAATTTACACAATCTAACATCAATATCTTATAATTAAGCATGAATATAATGTACATACAAAAGGGTTGGACCAAAAGTTATACCAACATTATCTAGGGTCCTCCCCTGAAGGTCTATCTTGTTGGCTTAATGGTAACATAGTAAGTAAATGTGGTTTTTAGAAATTCTGAGATATTTATTTATATGATAAGCGATATTAATTTCATGTATTTTAACTGGTAGAAAAGAATCGCTTAACCTAAAAAACAAAGAAAATTACAAAATGACTTAATGAGGTAAAATGGAAGAGAAAAAAAATAAAATAAAATAAAAGTAGTGTAATCGTTAATAAGCTGATAATATCAATCGTAACATTCCTTAGATAAGGTATTTTCAGTTTTAATGAAAATATGAAATATAATTATTTAATTCGCTAAAATTGATTTTCTATTACAACTCAGATCATTCATGATTCTACAGTTGACATATGCTGTTTGAAAGTAACTGGTATTTTTCCGGAGAAGAAAATAGCCTGTTATCTGCTCCTAGTACTGATGAAGTAGAGAAAAAACGTTCAGAACGACAAACTGAAAATGTTGCAGGCTCGGTTTGATTGAGCCTTTTCGTGAACGGTACGAGAAAGTGCAAGCTAACGCCCACGCTCCTAAAGAATAATTCAACATTTTACATTGATTTGCAAAATTTTGAATTAAGAAACACCCAAAGAGATGAAGATAATAAATATATATATATGTGTCAACAAATATGACTTCACTTTGATTACTATGAAAATTACCTTGGAGGTCGTCTAGCATAATGGCTTCATCTTTGTTGACATCAAGTTTGCTAAATGCCTGTTCTATAACGTCAATCCTACACTGTTTCATTGGTGGCCGAAGTTTATGCATAAACTCACAAAAATCTATTCCGCCACTTTTATTCAAATCTAAAGCATTAAAAAGAGTATGCAAATAGTTATCAGACATGATTATTCCAAACCTTTCTAGAGCCTCCTTCAGTTCTTCAAATACAATCCTTTTAGAATAGTCAATGTCCATTGCCCTGAAAATTACACTCAATCCCTTAATACCATTGCAACCCCTCTTCAGACATTGCTCCCGTAAAACTTCTATTAGACTATCGGCGTTCATAGACATTCTGTCTATTTTATTATCTAAATAATCCTTAGGAAGACACTTCTCGATGATATCTAGTCAATTTGCAAGTAAACTATCTATTGTCTGAGAGAGGAAGGAGCAAAGTGAAGTCTTGTTAGCATTTTTCAGCAACATATATAGCCACTTCATAAATTATGTTGTATGCATTCGTTTGTATGATTCAGACAGGAATATGATATTATCCACTTGTATTATATTATTCCACTTTTACAAGACCCGACTTCAAACAGACAAATATTGCCAGACAACGCATTAGATCAATCGTCTCAAGCGAATTCTTCTATTACACAGTCCTGCAATTTAAAACAATATGAATTAAGCCACTTTGAACTTGATATGAATAAACTTATCCATTAATATCTATTTCATTACTTTTTATGCATAATATTTAATGTTAATATTGTTTTTGATTTGCTTATTTCCATATCAATTATCCAGTTTAAATTTATCCGTACAAATGTTAATAGGCTCCAGTTAATATCTATCTATACAAAGGTTAATAGAAGTTTACTCATTAGCTTATATATATTATTAACCAGTTAATAATTATCCGTTTAGGCGTTAAGTCACAAGCTTTAAAGTTTTTAATGGCTGTGCAATTCGACTTGGTTGACTTATAATTAGTCTGCATGGGTCTGTAAATTCTGATTTGTGTGTCTTACATCTCTCAAGATGTATTCAACCACCATTGATTTATTAATTTTAACATTTTTTTCAGTCTATTTAAAAGTAATATAAACACATGTTACAGTTAGCTTTATGAAAGTGAACATAAAATCAATAGCATTATTTTATCATTGAATACAACATATAAATCTAATAAAGTTTCAGTTCACACATATTAAATTATAAACAATAGTGTATCTTATTTTCATTAAAGTATTGTGTGTAATATTCTATAAAATATTGTAGTTTAAAGGGACTCAACTGAGGTTTAAAGGCCTAAAAACATAACATTTGAATTTCTTACATAAATGAGCTGGGGCACTTTAAACAGAAATATATGCAAAGATAGTTAAGAAATATGCTTTGAAATAAATTGAAAATCGTATTTTTATGTTTTTCTTAGCCCGATTTGAGTGAAAGGCGTTTAAACGCTTTTCATTTTGGGTCACTTCTTTACAATTTGTATCATTATTCTAGAAAAACGAAAAGCGCAAATGATCTGAAATTTTGCACACAGATTAATGGTCTAAACATATATCAAATGGTACATTTATCTGGAAAAAATATTTTCAGTCCCATCATGTCAAAAAACCTCAGTGGAGTCCCTTTAAGGATTTTTTTTAAAAATACGACATTATTTCATTTTTTCCATATTCCTGGGCCAATTTGTAAATGTGCCTTTAGATCTGATAGACAAATCCAGATAAATTGATGACTTTAAGTAAAATTATCATTGCACACAAATGAATTGAGTTTACAAGTTTACAAACTGTGTATCATAAAAGAAAGATATTAGTTTCAATAAAATTACTCTAATTGAAATATGTTACACAGTTTGTAAATTTCAAGTTTTAGAATTTTAAAATATTGCGATGAATATCTGTTTAAATAAGAAGAAACTTGCAAATATATTACGTTGGAATTTACAATAATTGTTTGGTATACTTGCTTATAAGATACAACAACGTCTTTTGTACAGATTGCAATAGTACATATATGACACTTTAAAGAAATATAAGTTGATTGAAGCGTGAACGGTATATGTAGCTTATTCAACGTCAAACTTCTTATTTTTCAGTAGACTATGAAAAATACAATTGAATAGTTTGTGAACTCTTTGTCATTTGAAGTCGAAAAGAAAGTTTATTTACAATAAAAAAATACATGTCCAATGATACTACAATCTGTTTGTGTACCAGAAGATGTAACTTTTCAAATGTTCGTGTAGTCAGTCTGTAGCACTTCACAAATGATTAGACTAGTATATTGTAAAAGAAAAAAGTTATCATTTATGACACTGATTAAAAATGTATAAGTTTGCTGTATTCAAACTAAATACCGCAATTCTTTTTCTTTAATCTAGTCTAACAAAAAAAAAACGGCATAATTAAGGTAGCAAAAAGTCCATACACAAGGAATATAATCATTTTCATTTGAAACAAAAAAATGTCTTTTTATGTTTGAAATGTATATATATCAACTATGTTAGAACACTTTTTTGGAAAGATCAACGTATTTGTATACGGCAACTTCTAAATATTTTTGTTACAATTCAGATAAAAAATCGGAGATGATTAGTTCAGTATATGATGTTATACCATTGGCATTTAGCAACTACTAAATAATTTTGGTTACTGTACAGAAAAACATTCAATATTGGATGTTATACCACTTTTAATAAACGTACAGGGACAAAACATAAATAGATCGTATAACGCAATCCGTAATTTAATTAAATCAGTTAAAGAGAAAATTTATTTGAAATCTGTATAATATTCATTCTTTCAGTAGTGCATTCTATATATACGCAACAGTCGTTTCACATTTTCTGGTTATATATTAATTACGTTAAGTGTATTATATGTAATGAATTATGTAATGGATTACTCTCGTTACGTTACACTATGGTAATAATTTCAAAGGACACATCTTTCTATTATTTTAATCTGTAAATAGCTTTGAATCACCTTCTTCCGATGCTTTTTGAAAAAAGGAAAAAAAAAAAAAAAAAAAAACAAGTCTACACTGTTTTCGTCTATATATCGCCTCAGTCAATTTTAAATCATTTTCACCCGGTAATATTATTTGAGCTGCGTCATGACAAAACCAACATAATGGGTTTGCGACCAGCATCGATCCAGACCAGCCTGTGCATCCGCGCAGTCTGATCAGGATCCATGCTGTTCGCTTACAAACCCTATAGCAAGTAGAGAAACTGATAGCGAACAGCATGGATCCTGATCAGACTGCGCGGAGGCGTAGGCTGGTCTGGATCCATGCTGGTCGCAAACCCACTATGTTGGTTTTGTCATGACGCGGCTCAATTTTCATGACTATAATAAACAATAGTTCTTCACTGGTAGTTTAGACATATCAACCGTTTTCATATCACATATCTTAATTTTTTAATTATATTAAAGCTTCATACTCCAAATGAGCGAACTGACATAATTTTAAATCACAATTAAAAATAAATAAATGATGAATTTAGCTGTACAAATTTGGTGAAAGTAACTATTCTTGTGACACTATTGCTGTGATTTTATTATACTTCACATTTCAAAAAGGAATCAGAAACACTATTGTTTGGTTCATAATTAAAATCTTATTTCTGTGAATCTCTAAAATGCTGCAATGAAATAACTGGAAGTCTTTCATATAATTTTATATAATTTCTTTAATTTAAATTCTTATTTTATTTAATGATAACAAATCCTCATTTACAAATAGGTTAAATTTCAATAATTGAACAAGTCTTTGCTAACAATACAAGTAGTGTATCATATTATACATTAAAACATATGCAAAGCTATTTGGAGTTGGTGTCAAGTTTTTAATAACCTATTACATAGAAAATTAATTACCTCTCATAATTAAAATAACGTTATAACATTCAAACCATCTTTATGATTGTAAGGCTTTCTTTCTTTCTTTCTTTCTTTCTTTCTTACGTCGCGCCATATAGCGACTTTTCAACTTTATTGGTTGAGGAAGACATCCGGTGCCCTTCCATGCATTATTTCAGACATAAACAGACACCTGAATAGAACCACCGACGTTCCATAAACTAGCTGGATAGCGTTCTCACAATTTGAATCATTTCATAAAAAATCATCTAGGAACATATAATCGACATACACATACTTAATTAAGAAAAAAATTAGAAATCTATTTTAATAATACGAGTAGTGAACATTATGTAATTAATTAATTCGCATATAATTATTTCAAAATGTATTAGCCACATTTTTTACGCAATAATTGTATATATGTATATATAAATGTTATGCATAATAAGATTTATCATAAGGAAAGTAGACAAAATACCTGCTTTAAAGTTTAAATCCTCAGTATGTGAATTATTTCCGATCTTGTAATTATGAGTTAAGGAAGATATTAACAATACTTCGGTATGTAAAACGCACCGCGTTTAGAATAGATCATTGCCATAATATCCCCACCGAACACATACCTATGGAGGGTGATTTATGCCAAAATTACATCTTGCTTTCTTACGTTACATCGTGCTTTCTAACTTGTACATCGTGCTTTCTAACTTGTACATTATGCATTCTGACATATACATCTTGCATTCTGACTTTTACATCTTGCTTTCTTACATGCACATTATGCTTTCTGCTGTGTGCGACTTGCTTACTTTTATGTTGATGTCGTTTTTTAACGATCAATTATTATTCTTTTGTTGATCTGGTATATTAATTCAATAAATTAACCTGCAACTGTTTGTATTTGGGTCTATTTACTCAGCTTGAATGACGAATGTCATAAGGTAGAATGCGCATAGCTGAAAGCCGAATGCAGCAAGCATAATACAACGCGACATCTGGTGTTTAATATGTGACACCCAAATTATGCTAACAGGTGGCGCTACAGTTATATTCTCGGTAAAGTCCGTATTGCGGTTCGGAATCAGTTTACCAAGTTACGTCCCTTTGTTTTAAAATTTCCATTTGCACTCATGGAAACGATTTAACCAATTTTTATATTTATTAATGAAACTCTGTAGGTCAAATTATATTTCCAGCAGACAATGACAAGTTGCACATTTCCAAATCAATGGTTTTAGAATTTATTTTTTTCATCAACAAAATAATTATAAAATAGAACAGTTGTTTAAAACATTGTTCAAAGTGCTTGGGCCCTAAAAAACTTCTTATTAAAATATTTCATCCTCTTGAAAAGTTCTTAAATTTTGACATGGCTTATTTCCAATACCTGTGACCATCCACAACATTTTTAATGTGTTTTAGGACATTTTCTTGCCTATTTTCAAACTAATTTTGTACACACGTTAGATTTTTTAAATTCAACTTGTCAAAAAAATGTCTTTTTTTTTCTCACTAAGTTGCTTTATGAATACGGCCCAGGTTCTTGTTCACAGTGTCAGCTTAAAACTGAAGGAATTGCTGCCAAAATCAGCTGATTCTGAGAAAGAAAAAAATAAAATGTCAAAACTGTCTAGTCTGTTTTCTTTTGCGGCGGCACTGGCTACCTCTCTTCATTTGAATTTTTATGTCACAGGTACCCTCTCATTTTTTAACACATACGTACCCACGAGGCACGACATATGCTTTTATTTGCGTTAATCGTTAAGTATGTAATATTT